TAAAGTGAATTTTTTTACAATTGGTGGGAAATGTTTTTTCCCAAAACCAAGGTAAATATGCGCGTGAGCCACCTAGCAAGAAAACAAAAGCCATGAAAATTTTGGCTTTTCAAACAAGCCAAATGCAAGAAAAATGAATTCTTCCAAGGGAAAAATTGCTTTTCAAACACAGCCTTACAGTGTTTATTTTGGAGTCTATTGAACAGTTTCTTAGTCATATTTTGTTTTCTCAAAATTATATTTCCATCTACTGAAAAAAAGTATATTAAATAATATTAGTATTTGATATATGAATCATACGAACTTTTTTCGAAAGTGCTAATTAACGCACACCGATGATGCATTCTAAGGATTGCAATTTATGTGACATTTAAATATGAGTCTTGAATCAACGTGACATTGATGTCTATTAATGAATAGACGATGAAGCCTAAATTTGTATCCAGTATGTTCCATACAAATTTTCGCCTTTTGCCACATAAGCTTCATCTTTAGATACACCAACAAAATCATTAATTTCGTGGATAGGGATATAACTAAAACAAAAGCATAATTTTAGATATCACCAGTACAGTTTTAACCCTTCAATAAACATTTAGGAAATCTGTTCTTGTTTTCCATTTGGCGGGTTATAGATTTATGAAAACTTGATTCGACCCACGAGCCAAAGGACCAAATCGAGCCTACTTTGTGGACAGGAATATAGTTCAACTCTACACTAGCTTGTGTATCTAAGGATCGAGCTGACTTAGCTCAACCTATTACTGTTAAGAATTGGGATTCCATCTTAAAATATCAACTTTGTTAAGATGAGTAACCCAATTCTTTATAAGTTGGTTTATTTTTATATCTTTATTCGATGTGAGATTCTATTCTTTATCATGCCCCCACAAGATGGTGACTCGTTTGAGCAGACCATCTTGAAATCCGTACACTCACTTTTGGTGTCTTAACAAAATCGAATTGCTCGTTAGAGTTTAATGAGCTCTGATACCATGTTAAGAATTGAGGTTCCATATTAAAATGTCAACCTTATTAAGAGGAGTAACCCAATTATTTATAAGTTGGTTTATTTTTACATCTTTATTTTACCACCCCTAGAGCGATGACAAATTTCTATAATATCTCAAAATCGAAGAAAGAATCAAACTAATAGATGGTATGCCCAAGCTTGTTTGGATGGGCATATTTGCTTTATAATAAGCAAATGGGTATGGTCCCCAACTCAAAGAAAAGAAAGAGATGAAGATGTACTTAAATTTTAAAAACTGCAATTGCAAGCGGACATGCAAAATATCAACACGTATCCTCCAACAACAAATCACTAACCATATTGAAACTGAACAGATCAATTACTTGCAGATATCAAAGATGTAGATTATTATTTCATATACTTGCTGATATGCACGCAAGTTTTCAGGATCCAGAAAACATGTTGCGAAACGTGATTCGGAAGACACGTATNATTCTGCGTTTGATGGCTCCTGATCGAACCGGAGTAACAAAAGTGTACGTTTTGAATTTGCTGCTACTCTCAGAAAATGTAGAGTTGGGATAATCAGAATTGATCAATTTCTTGGTCTTGTAATTCATCCCATTCTGCTCCATATCTATGGGGGATGATCAACTCCTTTGTCACTCTGCGTGTTTGAGATAGGGAGAAAGAATAGTTAGTATAAATGATTCTGTATTGCAAGAAAAGAAGTAAGTTGTTTCGATATATAGAGACAAGATGACTATTCTTAAGAAGACCTAGTTCAATGTGAAAGATCGGCGGCCCTGTAATTTCACGGAAATTGCTTGCATATATCCTAGTGTTGGCAGTTTACATCGCTTTCTTTAGGCAGAATCAGACGCTGGATAATTAAAACCGCGTATTTAACGAAACTCATGTAGGAATTTAGGAGATTGATGACTTTTTTTTGCAGAAAGTGAAAAGACTTGTCGGCTTGACAATTTAGAGAGAGAGAGAGAGAGATTTA